TGTCGAGGTTCAGAATAGAACAGTTTCATAAAATGAGGTGATGAACAAAGCGGAACAGAACAACTGGAGGGTGGAATAGAACAGTATTGAACAGTATGCCAAAAGTGTGGAACAGAGACATCACTAAATGAGCACCATAAAAATGGACGGGAATTTTTGATTCAATGTTGAGCAGCGACTGCAGAGATGTGTTCGCATAACGAGCGCAAGAATTGAGAGATTCGTGGACGTCAGCTAATCAGAGCATGCTGAGCACTGCCGATGATAGTTGCGAACAATAAGAAAACTCAATCGTGCGATTTGTTTGCTGAGAAGCGTTTCTGGATTTTTGTGGAAAGTTGTTGTGAATTTTGCAGAATTCACCGGTGAAATGCTCGTCTACACTAACCAATTGATGTAGTGTGCTTTTAATAGCGTTCAGTTGCAAAACGTTGCGTTGTTTGTTTTTACGTTGATTCGTTTGCAAAGCTTTTAGCGAAATGAATGAATGCCGTGACTAGATTGCATCAATCACTTAACGATTAATGCCTTGTTAGTGACAGCTTGATGAGAGAGACTCTGATGTTTGCTCGAATACAACAAATTGAATTGTGAGTTCAGACAGCGGCATTTATGCTTATTCATCATTTGCATGCACACGTTTCGTGCTTGTTTTGCTGTCCTCATCATTTCTTTGCATGATCATTTATTGTTTATGCGGAGTACCGATTGTAGACGAGAAAAAACCTTCATCGCTTAAGTATATTGCTGAGGCGAAATGTGTACTCGGTGAATCTGATGAGTGAAAAACTTCCTGAGAATTTTTATTGTTCCAAGTGAACCTCCCACTGAATTGATGCATTAACCAAACCTGAACCGGGCCGTTCGAAGTTAGTTATGAGAATATCCCACTAAATCCTTCATATTTCAACCAATGCCCGAAATTATTCATCATTTCAAGGTTGCTGCTATTCTTCTGCTCGGTGTTTTTCTTGCAATTTTGTAGTTAACAAAATACTTCACATTCTCTTGTGAATTCAGCTGTGAATCCTCTTGAAAGATATTTCATACATGATCTCAGGTTGATGGCGATTTGGATGTCGACAAGATATTCGTTGATGTTGCTTCAGCTATCGATAATACTATTTTCATTGGAGGTCAATAAAACGGTTTATTTATCTTGATTATTAAGCATTATACACCTTGATACGTTTGCACAGAAAATTTGTTCATTTAATTTTCCAAGTTCTGCTACGAACAACCGCTTTTGAAAAATATTTCTTCAAAATTGATTCGAAAAATTTTGTGATCAGTCAGTTTTGTTGCAGATCAAGAGAGCGGTAAAAGTTTAACTTCATCAAAAGAGGAGTCAGTAGACGGTGCAGAACGCAAAGAACAATGAGTGTGATCTCAATATTACTATTTGCAATTTAACATATTTGTAATTTAACGGTGATTTGAAAAATAATGTTGGATCTGTTCATTAAATCGTTCATTTATTCATTATAAAATACTCCTGTCGGTTATTCATACGAAGCCTATTTAATTGAAATCCAGCAAAGCATCGTAAAATGCATTCTAAATGACC